CATACAACAACAAAAAAATATATAAAACAAAATCTCAAAAAATCTTTTCACAATAACCACCCTTATCTCGGACAGTCTGCCTTTTAGTTAGCCTGGTTTCAGGTTCTTTGTAAGCTAAGTAGCCACGCAGTTCGACAGAAGAGATAAGGGATGCTAAAAATCATTCTTTTGCAATAACCACTTTTATCTCGGACAGTCTGCCTTTTAGCTAGCCTTGTTTCAAGTTCTTCGTAAGTTGAGTAGCCACGCAGTCCGACAGAAGAGATAAAAGGTTTTAAAATAAATAAATCAAAAAACTACCATAATGAAAGGAAATTGGGCCTTTTTCATGGTGTTAAGCATCGAATCCATCATCCATATAGGTAGTTTCATTATTCTTCAGAAAATATAAAAAAAAAAACATCATGCACCATGTAGAAAATAAAACATGATAATGTCTAGGAAAAAACAAACACTTTCATGCATATGAAAACATCATACTCATAGCATGAACTTTCTGTCATTTCTAGAAAAATGGAGGGATTAGGTAGTAAATAGTTAGGAAAAGTGGATATTCCCCGCTACCGTGTCGAGAGGTTGGAGCAGTTGTGCGCGCTTATGCCATCAGAGATTCGATCTGACTTCGAGAGATCTTATGGACGGATCTTGGACCTCTTGAAAATATGTGTTGACCACGTGTTCATCAGAGTCTTAATCCACTTTTGGAGCTCCAGACTACATTACTTCGAGTTCCCTCAGTTTGATTTGGTTTCGACCTTGGAAGAGTATGAGCTTATGATCAGATGGCCCAAGTCAGCTGGGGCCTACATTAGCCAGGGGGCTTACATCTCGGTAAACAAGGTCGCTCACCTCATCCGATTACCACTTTCACAGTCTGCCCTGAAGGGAAAAGGGAACATTCAGGGTTGGAAGATCTCACTTTTAGAGGACCACTTATCCTCTCTAGCTGAAAAAGGAGATTGGCCCACATTCAACAAGACTCTGGCACTAATTATGTTTGGGACCTTTTTATTCCCTTTCCATAACGATGTTGTGGATCACGTCGCACTGGATGCCTTCTTTTCTTGGGAAGTACATTTGAAAAGTCTTGTGCCTGCGCTTCTTGCCGACACCTTGCTGTCAGTAGAATTCTGTCGTCATAAGCAAGGAAAAACACTTCGTTGTTGTTCTACATTACTATTTGTTTGGGGCATCACTCACTTCTGTGCCTCAAGTCACATGGGAGGATTCCACGACCCTTTGAGGAGCTTCTCAAAGATCCCCCTCTGTCATCGTAGCGCCATGTAGTGGAAGACTGAGTTGGAGCACTGGAACATAGATCACATATCTTGGACATGTCCTTGGTTCCGACCTGGTCCTGTTCTTATCCGATGCGGAGATCACCCCAATGTACCATTGTTGCACCTTAGGGGTTTCATAGCTTATTCCCCGAAGATAGATATGAGGCAGCTCATGAGGACCCAGACCACGCCAACATAGGAAGAAATCGGGGGATTGTGTTTCTTCTGCAGTTCCAGCAGCTTCAAGGATGCTCCCGCAATCCGAAGAGCATGGGAGAAACTAGTCTACTTGGGGGATGAAGAACTTGGCAAGGATCGAGTAGCTTTTCCTAGTGACTTTGAGAAATGGAGGAAGAATAGAGGGGTGCCACATCCACCCGCTCCATTCCCCATGCCATCAGTAAATACAGAACTACGAACCCGAGTCGACGACTTGACCCAAAGGATAAAAATTATGGGAGCCCAATTGAGGGGCCTTGAGGAGAAAGAACAAGAATCTATCCTTACCCTTGATGGTCTGCAAAGGCAGTGCAAGAAGAATGACCAAGAGATAGAGCGTCTCAAGGACTAGTGTGCTGACTCCAACAAAGAGGTTGCCCGAGCATCTAAAGTTGCTAGAGCAAGCTCGGATAATCAAATCCAATAAATGACGGCCAAATTAGCACACCTTGAGGCCGAATTTGGAAAACAGGAACAGGAGACCAAGATGATGCAACAAGACCTCGAAAGGACTCGGTCTGAAGCACAACGAAGGAGGGAGGCCACCCAAAGACTTAACAGGGACTTGGCTGAGCTACGATGCAAGGAGAGAGACGGTTTAGCTCAGTACGGCCAAGTTCTGTAAGAAAGAGACCAAGCCTTTGAGAAACTCGATGACTTACAGGCCTTGGTCGTCCATCAAGAGGCAAAGATAAAAGAGGCTCAAAAATACAGTGAAGATATGAGCCAGGCAGTCCATCGACAGTCTGAAGCACTTACTCGTCATGTACAGGAAGCCGAAGGGGAATTATGTAGAAACCAGAACCCGCCTGTGGGTTTATTAGGCTTTTCCGTTTCTGCCAAAATGTGATTCGTGGCATGGTCTAAGAGAATGTACACTTTTTCTGGATAAATAAAATCACGTTTTGTTTATCTGTACAACTGTTTATTGCATTCATCTCGCATTCACTCACATATCTCTCCCTGCTTTAAATTAATAAGATAATAAAAAGGAAAGGTTAACTGATGTGCTTTCATAAATCAAAAGAATGGAAAGGAAACCACTCATCATCAGTCTTTCCTCAACGGTTGAGCCACCCACAACGGACAATAAGCCTCAACCGCTGGTTATCGCGATCAATAGAGAAGAGGGGGTTAGAACACCGCTGCGATTATTTATGCCTCGTCCTTTCCCCTACGAATCGAATAAAGTTGTACCATGGAAATATGCAGTAAACGAAGATGTTTCCAATATAGCCGGTATTGGGGGCATGACTAGAAGCGGGCGAATCTACTCTCCCAAGGAGTCACAAGAGGACGCCCCCAAAAATAAAGGGAAAATTAAAGAAACCGAAGAAGAAAATAAAGAAGAATCCAAGGAGGAAGCATACGAATTACTCCAGTTCATAAAGCAAAGTGAATACTCCATCATAGACCAACTCAACCGCACGCTCACGAAGATAACTTTGTTATCTTTGATAATGAGTTCAGAACCACATCGAAACGTGTTGCTGAGGGTCTTGAACGAAGCCTACGTGTCACACACCATATCCCAAGACAATTTTGAAGGAATCATTGGGAATATCACAGCCAGTGATCATCTTACCTTCACCGATGAAGAACTCCCCCTTGGAGGGTCAACCCATAACAAGCCTTTACACATATCCGTCAGGTGTAGAGAGTACCTCATCGCCAAAGTCCTTGTGGATAATGGGTCATCTCTAAACGTCATGCCTAGGTGCACGCTTGAAATATTGGCAATTCAAGGAGTCCATATGCGTCCAAGCAACACCGTCGTTCGAGCCTTCGATGGATCAAAACGTGAGGTAGTAGGGGAAATCAATCTAACAATCCGGGTAGGTCCCACTATCTTCAACGTGGACTTCCATGTGATGGACATCACTCCTGCTTACAGCTGCCTCCTTGACAGACCTTGGATTCACGATGTCAAAGCGATCCCATCAACACTCCACCAAATAATCAAATTCGTGGTAGGTGACAAACTGGTCACAGTTCAAGCCGAAGACAACATCTTGATCAGCAAGCCGTCTACCCTACCCTATGTGGATGCAACAGAATAGGCCCTCGAAACATCCTTTCAAGAGCTGGAGATTGCCAATGTTGAAAGACTTTCCAACAACATGAGGGTGGCACATATGATGACAAAGTACGGGTGCCACCCAGGCCAGGGACTCAGTACGAATTCCCAAGGAATAAGGGAGCCACCAGATTTCAAGGACAATCCTTTGAAACACGGTCTAGGGTACGACCCTAATACAAGAAGAAAGGGAAAGTCTCCCCTCCGCCCATTGAATCAGATCTTCCGAAGCGGAGGGATACAGGCGTCAAGAGCAACTTTAGTCATTAGGTGTTCTTCTTCCATTTTTTAAAGGAATGTAAACCCAATGACTATTAGAGATTACTCCCCGGGGCCAGCCCAACCCCCGGGCATTTTCAGGGCACATATTACCCTTTTAATCATACAAGAATATATTTCTTATTATCTGCTTCTTTTCTTACTATTCATGTATGTGCCTCATTAATAACCATGCTTAAGCAAACGTTTCTAAAAGGTGTCTAAAAATTTGAAAGCGCACTATCAGCAAAGAAACAAATTAAACCATCACTGATTGATTAGGAACACAAGTAAGGTTTTACCCCATCATAGTGAAACCGTGTTTTGCCAATGTTGCGAAAATAATAAGAGAGCCCGTAAAAGCCAAAGGCCAAAAGGAAAGGGCATCTAACCTGGTAGGAAACCCACAAAAGGGGGCTGCGCAAAAGTTAGGCTCAACCCGCTAGGAAACCCGAACAATAATAAAGGGTAGCCTAGGCAAAAGATAGGGTTACAAAGCAAGGTCCATTAGAGTTTCTAAAGCATAATAAAAAGAAACCCCGTCAAAAGTTAGGACGAAACGCGATATCCTAGATTGAAAACCCAAAGGGCGATCTAGGAAAGACAATCAGTCTTAATAAGCGCCGCAAAGCTCACCAAGTAAAGACGCAACCCCGCAAACAAACGTTTGTTTAAGCTAAGCCTAAACAATTTGACTAACCCTGGCTAGCCGTGCTTACAAATACCATTGGTTTCAAAAAAATTCCCTTCTAAAAACAAAAAACTTTGATTTAATCATCCTCTTCCTTCTTTTCTCTTGACCCTTATCGCTATGATATTCTAAGTGATTAACCAGGTAATGTGGAAACATAGTAATCAATATGAGGATTGAAATTCTAAAAAAAGGGAAGAAACACACTAGTATGACGAAATAGCTCTTCAACACAATCATTCTTCGGTTAAAGGCAAACCCAAAACGGCAGAAATGGTACAATTAAAGGCAGCACCAGAAGAATCTCACCATCAAGAATACATCAGTTAACTTTTCTGAAAATAATTAACTGAAATAGCGTTATAAGTTGGATATCATGAACATTACATGCATAGATGTTGATAAAAAAAGGTCCTATTTCCTTAAAAAAAAAATAATAACAATAATAAAAAATAAAAATAAAAAATAAAAAAAGAGAGCAGATGGTCGTCCGTTTAAGGCAGATGGTTGTCTAGAGGTGGTCGTTGGGACCAGATGGTCGTCCACTTTGAGTAGATGGTCGTCCAGAGGTTTCCGTTGGGGGCAGATGGTCGTCCACCCTAGCCAGACGGTCGTCCATAGGCGACTGTTAGGGGCAGACGGTCGTCCGCCCCTGTTTTTTTGGCCTATAAATTTGGGCGCCCCAAATGGCTCATGACACCTCATTCTTGCATTCTCCCTTTCTCCTTTACCTCCCATTTGCATATTTGAGTGTTATTTGTTGAGTAATGGATCGTGGAGAGTCGTCTACACGTCGGAAACGCTCCCGAGGACCCATAAGGAGCATCCCCCCTCCTCAGGTTCCCACTCAACTAACGGAGCAACACAAGGCTAGGTTTGCCAATATCAGTCAGTTTGCTTGGCACCCTATGCTATGGTTGGACTTCGGGATCCTAACCATGTTCGGTTGGGATCAGGATGTAAGAAGATACATCCAGGGTATAGGGTGGGACTTCCTGCTCAAAGATCCACCTACCTGCATGCACTGCACGACCACGCTGGAATTCCTCGCCTCAGTCACACTCATAGACCTACCATCTATGAGCCCCGGGCTTCCTCCTGTCCCAACAGTCACTTACTGGATGAATGGGGCTTACCGGACAAACGTCATTGATGACTTCAACGTCCTCATGGGGTTCCACCAGCCCGCAGAGATCTAGACACCGGAATACTAGGGGGCATTCTGCGAAAGGCCGACTACCCTCACCACCAGTAAGATATGGGAGGAGATCACCAGTTCGTAGCACGTTCCCACCAATCCAAAAGGGACTGCCTTCCTCCCACCGCTCCACATTTGTCATAAGTTACTAGCGGGCACCCTTCATAGCCGAAAGGAAAGTCAAGGCAAGGTCACTCAGGCAGACCTTTTTTCCGTTTACTGCATGCATGAAGGGATCCGATGCAATCCTGGAAACCTTTTCTTGAAAGCCTTTAAGGACTTTGGGACACGAGGCCCTGCGAGATCCATCATGGTAGGCCCTCTTATAACTCCTCTAGCTGAATACTGGGGATGCACGGATGGAGAGGACATCCCTGGTGCCCTACGACCGGAGCTCATAGACGGTTCGATACTCGCCAATATGAGCATGCTCACACGGAAGGGTACCTCCTGGGTCCTACACCCCCTCATCGCTATGACAATCGATATCCACGAAATGGATGCTTCGGAGTCGCAAGAGATGCCTGTCCCTCCAGGATCCCAGCAGCAACAGACGCAATATGAAGACAGCCTCGCCAGCCTACACCAGCACATGAGCGATGATAGGGCCCACTTTGATAGGCAGTACCAGCACCTGTGCCAACAGATTGACCAGCCGTCCTTAAGACAACAGAGTTATGAGCAAGCGTGGGAGAGCCTTAGCCTGAGGGTAGATGGCCTCACGCAAAGGATGGACATGATGGGTCAGGATCTACACGGCATGATTCGAAGCCAAGAAGAATTCCAGCACCGCGTACTCTGCCGACTCCCTTCACCAACACCGTCCTCAGCATGATAAATCTCCTGTTGTATTCTAATGTTCTGCAAAATAAATAAATAAAACTTTATTTTTTGTCTAGTTGCCTCTCTTTCGTTGTTTACAAAAGCCCGCGTGCACAAAAGAAACTAGGAAAATAAAAAGGCACACGCATCATTCCAAAAAAGCCAAATTTCAAAAAATCGCAAGAAAAAAAGAATAAAACCGCGGAAAAATGCGAAATTAATAAAAAAAATTCAGAACCAAATTCCAACTACCGCAGCCAATAAAAGGCCAATCAGTTCCGGCCGATTCTAGAGGCATTCATCAAAAATCCCCAGCAGTCAAGAAGTTGGGCGACTAAAAGAAAAAGCCAAAAGCGAAGAATCCCCGACATACCGGATGACTACACAAAAGTCAAGAGCAATCACTCCCCCATGAAACCGGCGCATGATCGGAAGTAGTAAGTCGTCACCACCACTTCGGGAAGGGGAAAGACCTGAAGATGAAGACCTGCACACAGGCGAAACCGGCGCATGATCGGAAGCAGTAAGCTGCCACCACCGCTTCGGGAAACGGAAAGACATGAAGACGAAATCGGTGCATGATCGAAATCATTAAGCCGCCACCATAGCCAAAGGGTCAGTTACCACATCGAAGGAGCATCCTGAGGCGTCTAACCTGATGGGGGTTCGTACTCATCAACCAAGGGGTCAGCTACCGCATCGAAGGAGCATCCCGAAATTCTCTATGTGTCAGCCGAAGGGTCAGCTACCGCACCGAAGGAGCATCCTGAAGCCTCATATCATATCGTCCAAAGGGTCAACTTCCACAGCAAGAGGAGCGTCCAGAAGACAACCGGGCAAGAGGGTTAAACTCCTTCACCGGCCAATTGACGTCATGGTACGTTAACCCATAGTCAATTGGTCGGGTAAAGGGGGGGCAGCTATAGACCCCAAATCTTGCCCAACCCTCTAATAAATCTGAAGATCGCCCGTTTCGAAGATGGTCAAGACTTTATTAAGTCCCTAGTAGCTTGTTCTAGGTTCCATTTAAGATAGGAAGGGTTTTAGAGGCATTAAAAATTGGGAAATCCACCGGAGACAGCAGATGTCCGTCTAGGACAAGCGGATGGTCGTCCAGAACAGGCAGATGGCCTTCCAAGACAAGCAGATGGTCGTCCATGGCAACTTTAAGGCCATGGACGACCGTCCACTTAGCTTGGACGGTCGTCCATGGCCAAAAGTTGCCATGGATGGCTGTCCACACTATATGGATGGTCGTCCATGGCCACTTTTTGCCATGGACGGCCGTCCACTAAGTCTAGACGAGCGTCCACCTTTTCCAGGCCCGGTTCCCTATAAATAGGAGCTCTCATTCTCCGAATTTTCACACATTTTCATTCCTACCACTCTCTAGGAAGCCTTTTGGAACTTTAAAGTGACTCCGAGCATTATTCTTGGGTTCGAGTGAGCTTTTCGATTTCCGTTAAAGTTGAAATCGGTTAAGGAAGTCTCTTTTAGAGACGTCCGACCCTCGGTAGAGTGACTTTTCTTTATTTTGCGGGAGGAGCATGCTTGTAGAGTGCGGGGACTGCCAAAAAGCGTCCTCACATTTTCGAAGAGTTAATATAAAGCTTGCTTCGGAGGTTCCTTCTCTATTCTCTGTCTCTTTTATTGCTTTCTTTATCGCTTTCTTTGTGTGCATTAAATAATAGAGCCATGTAGATATTTAAATTCTGCAAGTAGATAGAATAATAGGGTAAAAGCATAATTTCTTTAAGAGTTTATTTTCTAAGTTAGTCCATCATAGGGAACCCGAAAGGGGCGTTGTGGGGGTGCTAACACATTCCCCACACGTAACTAACTCCCTTACCCGACTCTGGTTGTAATGGCCAAAGTTGGTTTTTTCTAAAACCACTGCCTTCTTTTTTTACCTTTTTCAATGTTTAAGGTTAAAACACTGATGGCGACTCCTCGAACCTATTCGAAAATATCTCCTTTAGGTCCAGCTCGGTTATCGGACAGCCAAATAGCGTTGAACCACTTAATCCAAAAAACACGAGTCATATCAAAACCATCGCGTCACTCCAACCGCCTCTTGCGACGACGGCGACACCTAGGACGTGTCCTAGCGAGGAATATGAACCCTATATTTTGCCCAGGATGCTCTTTGCGAGTTTTCATCCTGATGGGTCATGAGCAGCACCTTCAAGCATAATATTTCTTCAGCTCATATGAGTTGACCGAGTGCCGAAGCTCTTCTCCGTCCATGTTAGTGAGGATAAGAGCTCCTCCTGAGAAAGCTCGCTTGACCACAAAGGGTCCTTCGTAGTTTGCTGTCCATTTTCCAAGTTTGTCCTTCTAGGCGGTAAGCAGTTTCTTTATTACTAAATCACCTTCTTGAAAAGTATAGGGATTGATCTTCTTATTGTAGGCCTTCTTTATATTCTTTTGATAGGCCTGCCCATGACATATGGCGTCTAGCCGTTTTTCTTCGATCAAATTAAGCTGGTCGTACTGATTCTTGACCCATTATGCTTCGGTCAGCTTTGCTTCCATAATGACTCTTAGGGAGTGTATTTGGACTTCCACTGGCAATACGACCTCCATGCCGTATACGAGGGAGAACGGAGTGGCCCCGGTGGAGGTCCGTACGGAAGTCCGATATCTGTGTAGGGCGAAGGGCAACATTTCGTGCCAATCCTTGCATGTTATCACCATCTTTTGAATGATCTTTTGATGTTTTTGTTGGCTGCCTCCACCGTACCGTTCATTTTGGGTCGGTATGGAGAGGAATTATGATGTTGAATCTTGAAATCTCGACATAATTCCTCCATCATCTTGTTGTTTAGATTGGTCCCATTATCAGTAATGAGCCGATGAGGGATACCATACTGACATAGAATATTTATCTTGATGAAGGCGATTACCACTTTCCTAGTCACGTGTGCGTAGGATGCCGCTTCTACCCATTTTGTAAAATAGTCAATGGCCACCAAGATAAAACGGTGACCATTAGATGCTTTGGGCTTGATGGGTCCGATGACGTCCATGCTTCACATGGAAAATGGCCATGGTGTGGCCAAGATGTTGAGAGGTGCGAGTAGGACGTGAACATTATCGGCATAGATTTGGCACTTGTGGCATCACTTAGCATATTGGTGATTGTCGCCTTCCATTGTGGACCGGAAATATCCTGCCCTTAGGATCTTCTTTACCATGACATGTCTTGGCACGTGGGTCGCGAAAGCTCCTTTGTGAATCTCCTTTATTAGAGTTTGAGCCTCCTTATGATCCACACACCTTAACAAAGTGGAGTCAAAATTCTTTTTATAAAGGGTTTCTCCAATCAATGCAAACCTTGCGACCCCCTTTCGGATGGTCCTTTTGTCATTACCACAGATTCCTTCGGGATATTCACCCTTCATGAGGTATCGCTTAATGTCGTGATACCAAGGGTTTTTTTCTTAGTTGCTAGTCACTATCATGCAAAAAGCTTGTTTGCCATGCAGCCTGATTTGGATGGTTGGCATCTCATGCTCTTGATCTATAGAGAACATGGATGATAAAGTTGCGAGGGCATCTGAAAACTGGTTATCTTCCCAAGGGACATACTCGAAGGTGACACTTTCCAACCTCGAAGTTAAGTTGCGAATGTACTCTAGATATGGGATTAATTTGGAATATCGGGTTTCCCATTC